CAGAGAGAGAGAGAGAGAGAGAGAGAGAGAGTAAAACAGCTGTCGAAGTCGATCGGGTCGACCTAGCCTCGGTCGTCAACTCGCTTTCTTTTTCTTCGCCTACAAGCGTTTGAATAGGGGCGCGGGAAAACTACTTGTGTGATGCGGCACGCGTAATACCGGAAAAGGCCTTCGGGTAGTTCTAGAGCGCCGCCAGAATTGGGTCGCTGGAGTCGTGTTTTAGTTGCCACTTTACTATTGAAGACTCTTAAGTGGAAAAAGAGTTTATGACGAAATATACCCCCACCGCAACAAACCTGCAGACTAAGCAAATTTCTATTTGCCTGATTGGATTTACACTAAAATGACTTCTTGAAAATATCACAGTTATTCCATATTTAAATAGAATAAGTTTAACAAGTACTTAGGTTTGCTGCAACAGGGAGGGTAAAAGTGTGTTTTTTTGTGTAAAATAATAACATTTTATAAATAAATAAATGATTTTTTTCTAATTTGATGCAAATATTTTCATAAACAAGAAAACTACTACAGTTTACTTATTCCCTGGTGTGAGTGAGGGTATACATTCAACTCTAGAAAATACGCTGGTCAACGAACGACAAAGAGCCGCCGATGTCTAGAGTTTCCTTGGATGGGTGGCTGACCGACCGGTGGTCATAGGGTGACGACACAAACGGGGTGGTAGGCGGGTATCCGTGTCGGCCAGTGAGTCAGTGTTACCGGTGTTACTTCAAAGATGAATTAATGCCCTCGGGGAATCCCGAGGTAGGCGCGGCGCCGCCAGCTCGACACTTGTTTCGGTCACTGGTCTTGGTTGATTGTTTCGTTTTCGTTTTACTATCTTTTGATACTTTTACATAAACGATATAGCCATGATATATTACTAATGAAAATTCAATAAGTACATTGCACACTAGGATAGTTCATGTAAACAGTTGTTACTTAAATAGTTTGGAACTCTGGCCACGTCTATATTCTTCATTAGAGTGAACTTAACTGCAGGCTATTCAATAGACTGTGAAAAAAACTGTGAATTATTTTATGTACTTGGGGTTTGATATTTTTTTTTATTATTATAGCAAAAACTACCAATCTTTGTCATCCGCGTCATAATTCTTGAGCTAACTACTTCTGCAATGATATACCTTACGTCACAAAACTGTATTAACCCTAGATCCAGTACCTCTGCTCCAACTAGTATTATAACATTGCCGTCCAGGAATCTTTGAACATATAGTTTGACAATAAGTGCATGGATAGTACAGCCGTTTCAACAAGGATTTATTTACTATATGTTCTTAAAACTGAAATTAATTAGAAAACTATTAAAATAAATTAAATTAATTAATTTGATGTGAATTTAGCTTTAGTTAACAACACTCATACAAGTTCATAAACATAAACCAAATATTTTTTTTTTACTAGAAACGATTTGCAGGGTCGTCCAGATGAACTTGGAAATAGTACCATAGATAAAAGGAGTAGACATACTCTGTCATACATACATGTCTATACTCCTTTTATCCTTATATTAGTTCATTAGAAAATCTGAATATACAGTAGTGCCGTGCATTTGAAGTACTTACTCAGAACACAGACTTACTTGAGGACAGTTACACAATAAAACGCAAAGATCTACGGAAGTAAAGACTACATTATTTAGTAAAAAAAAGAACAAGGATGCGTCAGTTAGGGCCAGTTAGACAATTGAAGTACACAGAATTGAATCACCATAGTATTGTCCATGCAACAACGTGAGAGGATAAAACATGTACTTCTTCAATTATAATTACATGTTTCTGTGTAAAACCGAAGACGTCTACAGACTTTACTAAGAAAAACTTCTCCCCGGTAACACAGGAAATGGGAATTCCTTCTAGACAAGGTTTTCAATAGGCCTACAACAAAATCATAAAACAAAAGATGTTTCTCAGGCTAAGTAGCACACTGTGCACTTCAGCAAATAAATAGTTTACCGAGATAACTATTGCTTACAAAGACAGCAGTGTCATTTAAGGAGAAATAGTACAAACTAATGTCACCAAAAGTCTAAATTCATTCTTTATTTTATTTTTTTAAGAGAGGGAAAAATAGACAACAAAGCTTTAAATAACCGGTATTATCAATTTGTATTTATCTCTCAATTGAATAAATGTAACGGTAGTTACCTCACCACTGTTCACAATATTTGACCCTCCTATTACATAAATATGTTAGTTAATTTAATATACAAACTCGTGTACATGTTGCTCAAATTCGAGCAATTTCAAAGTATTACAGAATTTATTTCAAAACGAAAAAAAGTAATATTCAATGAGTTTAAAAGAGTCAACTCAAAGATCACCAGTGTGTAACTGCTGGAGATACTCACGATGTATATACAGTAATCAACATTTCCTGTAAATATTTTATCATATTTCATAAATTGGTATTGCATTTTAATGTTTCTACAAATGTTTCCTGACTTATAGCTGCATAAGGTTGTCCATGTTTATCTTATTTATTGATAAACCTATGCATGGCACCACCCTTGTCGCCAGCAGTAAGTTTACAAATTTCAGTAATTTTTTAATAAAGATAAACACCTTTTTGATCATATTAAGGACTTCCTGTTGTCTGTAACAATTTTATTTTTTCAATCGGCGTATTTTTATTTATTTAGTTAAATAAAACATTTATTTCATTGAAGTAAACTAATATAGGCCTATTTATATTCACTGTACTGTGTATAACAAAATATCGATTGAGAAACAAACAATTACACGTAATAAAAACCTCACTAGTCCGCTGCATTGTGATAGCTGAAAATCGTCGGAATGAAAACCGCCGCTACAAGATACAGAAGTTGGTACGCCTGCAGGGCCCTCCACAGCTGCGCGCGCCGCTGGCACTGCCGCTCAACACATCCCCACCTAAAAGACGAGCAAGTGGTAAGTCGGTCGGGAGGATTGACGACAAGTTGGTTTCTTGTGTATAATAATTTAGATTTACAGGCCGGTCAACTGGACTGACGATGAAATAACTTGTCGACGTACTGGTTTTCAGTAATTATCTATTTAATTAAAAAAGACGGTCTAGTGGCAAGACGACCAAGTATCTTGTCGGTCAACTGGTGGCCCCCCATACAAAATACATGGCAGGATGTAAACATAGCTACTCTAGCGCTCAGCACTCCCAGCGAGAATATTGAGAATGAACGTCCAGTGGATCAGCTCAAATCGGCCCACCCTGCTCTATATACCAATGCATTGTTCCCTGATAGTCATGCGCCGCCGGCTGGCGTTGCCTAGTCCATTACATTTTTTATGGTGGCTAGAAGGGCCCGAACTCCATGGCCCTCCAATGTATTACGAGATGATTGTATTGTATTTCAACAAAAGCTATGACCCGTAGAAAGTTCAAAATTAATTTATATCACAGTTTATCAAATAATATCAACCAAATAACCTACAAGTATTTAAAAATATACTTTACTGTTTATTTTGGGTGGGCCCGGCTTACTTGGCCCTTATGGAAGCGCCGCCACAGAAAAACACCTAGGCTACTTATTAACTTACATGATATTTTCACTAAAAGTTCATGTTTTCACATTAATGTTATCGGTAGTCCTACATTGATGGTAGGTGCCAATATTAGGCCTACCATCGATGGTTAACCTATCAATACTCATTCCCATCTTGAAGGCACTGACAGAGGAATCTGCAGTTAGTGATGTGACGAGTCGAGTACCGTACTTGACTCGTTGAGTATCGAGTCCAATGAAGTATCGAGTCGACTCGATACCGAATCGGCGATACTCGAGTACTATTACTCGTGAACTAAAGCTTACTAGATACGCCGCTACGAGTCCATAGCGCTTGGGTTGGGTGCATGGTGCATGTCTACTACTCGAGTCGAGACTCGGATGTTGTTCCAGATTTTGCCACTACGAGTCGACAGCGCTTGTGTGCTTGACACTGACAGTTCGTATTAATACACTGCTGAATGTTCAAGATATAGTTTCAAAACTATCCGCTACGAGTACATAGCGCTCGAGTAATTTGCTTACTCGAGTCAAGACACTGTTTGTTATTAATCTAAGTTTTATAATGACGAATAAAATCCATAATTAATTATCAACTCAATGTGAGAAAAATCTCGCTCTCATCTTAAATCTACACAGAGTATAAAACGAGTCCGAGCCAAGTCCGTCCGACTCGAGTAAAGGGACTCGAGTCCGAGTCAAACAAGTTCCATTTCCAGTATTCGCACGGCAGCTACGAGTCAAAAGAGCTTCGGTGCTATACAGGTAAGAATCAAGTCCAGTACTCGAGTACCGACTCAAGTAGTTGTGGTATCGAGTCGAATTGACTCGAGTAGGGAAAGTACTCGACTCGTCACATCACTAATCTGCAGTAGAACAAAGATGGGTTTAAAAATATGTTTATAGGCCTATGTTTTAACAATTTTATGCTGGGACACAACTTCCTAACCTTACATGAACTTTATTGTTTAATTTTGAGTATTGCTCAGCTCTTTTCTTGTTTATTTATATTAGCCTACTACTGTTTGCTTTTCATAGATATAAGTTAGGCCTACTTTAGAATTTTGCTACTATCTGCTTGTTAGTTCACTTCCATGTCTGCACTTAATAAATTAATGTATTGTTTGTTAAATGGTGTTTACCGTTGAAAATGAATAAATAAATGAATGAACTTATGTTGTAGAGGTTAAAATGCCACCAGGCCCTAACTTAAGTAAGTTTATGCCTATTGCTTGTAGAATCATAACCTAGTTAATTTAAATTATGGATTTTATTGTATCAAAACCGTTGTATTTGTGTAAAAAAACGAGTGTTGAATATATTTTATCCATTATGCCCTCGGAATTTTACAAGCTTTAAAATATATTTAAAGGGATTTAGACCTAACCTAAAATTAAGAATAGAATTACAATCTACGATACAGAAAATGTCATAACATAAGAACAAACAAGGTTCAACTAGGAAAGCAGTATTTTACCTGTTTTGGCTTAGTTAAAAAATGGATTATAATCTAAAAATTAATGTGAAAAACTTCTTAGTTCTGAGATATTCTTGCAAATGCTCTGGATAAGGACATTGATACCACCATACCGCCACGGCCACCAAAAAGTATAAAACCAGAAGAAGACAGAAGAGAGAAGAGTGAGTAGAAGTGAAGAGAAGAGTGAAGACAAATACATGGAGGAAATAACAGACCAAAAGCAAATAAGATACCCCCGCCGCAGCAAACCTGCAGACTAAGCAAATTTCCATTTGCCTGATTGGATTTACACTAAAATGTCTCCTTTAAAATGTCACATTTTATTCCCTATTTAAATAACACTAGTTTAACGAGTACTTAGGTTTGCTGCAAACAGGGAGGGTAAAAAGGTGTTTTTTGTAAAATGTTAATAGTTTAGTATGAAATGAATGCATTTTCAAAATTTGATCAAAATATGTTCATAAACAAGCAAAATAAAACAGTTTACTTATTCCCCATAAGATTAACTTGGGAATTTTAAATTGACCGATTTTAAGATTTTTCTCCGTAACCATTAGGCGCATAATTAACGCTTCAATATACTAAATTATTTGTTTTTTTAAGCTCTACAAAATGGTTTGAAAAGAAATTGCTAAATTTTTAGTTTATAGGGTCAAAAATGGGAAAAATCAATTTTTATCCCATAAAATCCCCTATAAACCCCTGTTCCCATGGTCCGGTCATGCTGGTTCGCGAACTCGTTCGAATAAACGTAGGTTTACACGTTTGTACCAAATTTCATCAAAATCGGATGATTTTTGCGAGTTATCGCACTAACGGACACATATAAATATATATATATTTATTTACTATTTGTTCATAACTGTGATCATGGCCTAAGAGCCGAAACATGTAAGTTTATTCAATAAAGTAATAACTTAAAAAAGGGTACTAAATGTATAATTATTTATTTCATTTATTAATAGTATATATATATATATATATATATATATATATATATATATATATATACATACATATGAATTTGGACGGATGGTGTTTTTGGCCTCTAGGGACCTCAAAACAAAAAAGTAAATCGGTCCCGGGTCCAGGTCTTACCATGAGTACTACGGTAATAGCTTATTCCCTATGGGAAATTCGCTAAAAATACAGTAGAAACCCGGTTAACCAAAATAATGGGGGAAGAACCGTTTCGGATAACCAATTTTTCGGTTAACTAGGTTATTGTTATCTAAGATTTGTTATTTATTATTTGTTACTCACCGTTGTTATCTATTAATTAATTATTGTTACTCACTGTTGTTATTCATTAATTGTTACTCACTGTTGTTAATTTTTCATTGTTAGTTGTTATTTATTTTGAGAATATTTATTTATTGTTACTCTATTGCACTCAATCTTTGTCACTTGTTATTTATTTAGAGTAACATAAATGAACAGCCGTCCATGTATTCACTCTTGATCATAGTTGATTTGTTACTGTTAAGCATGCACAACAATATATTTAACTGTATTGGTTGCAACCATTAAATGAATAAATAAATAAATGCTAAAAATAGCCTATGTATTACCACGGTGTGTATGACAAATTAATTTAAAACAATGTCTATATAATATAGAGTAAAGTGTTTTATTTCAGCTACAAAAATGTTCCAATGGGCAAAACTATCTAGAGAAAATGGCCTCTCTGTTTTCATATTACTTATTGTACTTTTATTTTAGCCCTGTATAATGCAACTTGAGAGTAACCGGTGACAAAATCACTAATAATTTTAGAAGAGAATCGGTGCTCTATGACCACAAAATTTACTTATACGTATGTTAACTTATACAGTTCTACCGGTTCTTCATAAGAGAATGGGTTTAAAAGTAAGCGGTGCTTTGGTCTCAATATATATTAAATATATCTATAGCAATAGCCATTCTTATATTATTTTCATCCATTCATGTGACAATATCATCACATCTACATCTACCATAGACTAACCAACACATATAAATAAATAAATAAAAAAAACGCGAGTAGCCTTCTCATCACACTGTAAATTTTGAAGCCCGTTTTTCGGGTCTAGTTCATGTCCGGTGACACTATGACTGCTATTGTTGACGGAATTTTGTTTATATTATTTTAGGGTTAATATCATGATTTGGGTTTTTACTGTTTGGTTTTATAACTATACGAGACGAGTTATTGTTTATGATTAGATCATTTTATTTGGCTAAACAAGGGTTTAAAAGACTGAAATAGCAAGAAACAAATTGTTAACAAAACGCACAACCTCTACGCTGCAGTGGACCGGACACTCGGACAGAACTATCAATAAAACTGGCTTCAGCTGTTCCATAAGGATGATAAATCTACTAAGGGAGTATGCCTTATTTTTAAGCATCTACTAAGGGTGTTTATTTTACACAGCTGCTATTATATCTATGGATGTAAATGTGTTCGTGTGTGCGTATTCACGCATTCTATCTACATGTATGTAGTTATGAATTTTGGTCAAGGAAGAATGAATAAATTATTGTTAATTATGAATAATGACAAGGGCCTATATGTCTAATTTATTTCATTGCATTGGATGGTGGGAGGATAAAGCACCACGACTATAGCAGGTCGAAGTCGACTATAGCATGGTAAAACCATAGAATAAATAAACACCATTTATATTACTTCATCTATGGTAAAACGTTCTCCCTTGGTAGATTTCTCATCCTTATAGAACAGATGATGCCATTTTTTGTTAGTTTTCTCCGGTGCAATGTAGAGGTTGTGTTTTGTTTACAGTTTGTTTATTTGCCATTTCATTTATTTAAAACCTCGTTTAACCAAATAAAACTATATAATCATAAACAATAACTCGTCCCCAGTTATATAACTAAACAGTAAAGCACATAACTAAAACCATAGATAAAACATACTCCTCAAGTAGTATGTTTTTTCTAAGCTAAAACAATAGAAACAAAATTTCGTCGACACTAGTGATCAGCACCAGACATTAAAGCACGGGTCACACTAGGCTACTCGTCAGCCGATGGTGATCAGCAGCTGGCACTAGCATCACCGGCTCACCAATCCAGGCTGTGTCAGCTCAGTGTCAGTGTCAGCTGCGAATTTTGTGGTCACATTAAGCTGACAGTCGCGGCTTCTTTCAATTCGCCGCTGATGCCAGCCTAGTGTGACCCGTGCTTGGCATCAGCGGCGAATTGAAAGAAGCCGCGACTGTCAGCTTAATGTGACCACAAAATTCGCAGCTGACACTGAGCTGACCCAGCCTGGATTGGTGAGCCGGTGATGCTGCTGCCAGCTGCTGATCACCATCGGCTGACGAGTAGCCTAGTGTGACCCGTGCTTTTACTACACACGAAAAACGAGCTTCAGCTTCAATATTTACAATGGGATGAGTCTACTTGTGTTGGTTAGTCTATGACTATAGTCTGACGTTTGATATTTTGGCAATAACTTGAGCCATTCTTAGCATCTATAACATTTATAACAAAGAATGTATACTTAGTTTATAGGTAAAGAGATTGGTCTGCAGCTGAACATGTGAATATTGTTTAAATATAAAATCAATGCCACGACCAATAAAACTTAATAATACCTGCCTGACTGGCTTTGGACTAGACGAGACTGAAAAACCGACCAGCCAGATTAGATTTAGATTAGTCGTCAAAAACCAAAAACTAAAAACAATAAGTCAAACGCATAGCAAATCAAAACAGTGTGTTATTTTGTTCTGTGAAGGAGGAATTTTTGTATACTTTTAAAGTACTTTTTTTATTTTCAAAGTTTCATGACCGTCTGAAATAGTTTTTTACTAATATTTGAAACAGTACTAACAACATGTTGTAGAATTAATTAGTTCGGAAAAATAAAAGGTAAGCTTTTAAAGGTGGAGTCAACAGTTTCATCGGCATCGTGTTCATCATTGTGAACTATGTCATATCACCTTTATTTTTACAATTTAAACTTCTCCCAAGTATACAACTTTACATAAAACACGGCCTAAAATATATTTCCTTTCTATAAATAGCTCTCAATGGTATTTATTTTGATGTTATTAAATAATGTGAAGATCAAATTCTTAGCCTAGGCCTAAGTCAAAAGTCAGTAACAAGCCTTTTCTCAACTTCACGACACACTTTGAACATAATTAATTCAATAATTTAATAATATAGTTATTTGATAACTGTATTATATAGGTACCTTTTTTTGCTAAATTTCGAAACTAACCTAACTACCAATCTAACCTAATCTAACTAGGTAAGTTGATCTTTTCAGACTTGGGAAAGTTAAGTTTAGTTACAGTTACAAGTTTCGCTCTTTCCTGAAATGTAAACTTAACAAAATTCAAAAGTAGGCATAACCGATTACAGTTACAAGTTACATGCTTCAAAATTTTAGAAACACTAAAAGACACGGCTGCACTTTAGTTTACGACCTACACTCAATTGAATGAAAAATATCGATATAGGCCTATAGATTATTCGATATATCGATTATTTCATTTGGTTTGTTAGGTTAGGTTCGGTTTTGTTGGTTTGTTAGGTTCGGTTAGGTTCGGTTTTGTTGGTTTGTTAGGTTCGGTTAGGTTAGGTTTTAACCTCACTAATCAATCTCTTGATATATCGAATGAAATAATCGATATAAGTTATCGATCGATAAATTCGTTCGAATAAGTGTAGGACGTAGGTAAACTAAAGTGCAGCCAAAGACACTGAGTAACATTTAAACCAATAAAACACGAGGCATAAGTTATTGATAAGTCATGACACTTAGGCCTAAAAAAAGTTAAGTTACAAGCTAGGAAATAAGTTAGTTTGAGCCAGAAAAAATCTTGATTTTACCTTCGCATTGCTGATCTTAAATCTTAACCCCTTTTCATTTACGGTTACTATAATATACGGATAAAATCAATCTTTTCACTTAAAAATACCTAGGGGTTTTTTTTACAAAAGGGTAACCTCTAAAAAGCATCACTAATTGAAATGGTATAAGATTACCTGTATCCGTATATGTGATCATAAAATTTGTTGTATTGAGCAACCGTTTTCAAGGTTAAATTCTCATCATCAGACTCTTGTTGTCACTCTTGCATGATCGGCAAGTT